ACTGCTTAGAACCATCTAAAGAGCCCGTGCACTTACCTGTAGTTTGTCCTATAGTAGTAAGTGAGATGGTTTATAAAGAACCACATGTGGCATTCAAACTAATGCTCTGAGTTCTCTTTCCTCAACAGAATACATTTGGAATACTGTAAATGATGCAAGATTCTAGTAGCAACCATACACGGTGAAAGCTTTTACACTGTCATCAGGGTAATTAACTCTGTCTTCTAGATCATCTATGTCTTTATGTTCACATAATCTGCAGGTAACAGTTCATCTTTAAGCAATGCTGAGAAGCTTTCCACAAACTTGATTCGAAACTGGTATGTAACTCTAAATAGAGACTGCCAACAGCTGTAGTATTATATCTTTACTCAATAAACCTTGGTTAAATCTTAATCACATTTATTTAGACAGTTGATATTTTTGCCCATCAAAGTCCATAAGAAACTGTTTTTAATGCTGTTGATGTATTAGTCAGAGTAGACTTCCTGCTGGTTTATTTTCTTTCAGTGTCTTAACAGAGTAGAGAATTATTGCTTTCTCAAGTCCCAGTCCCATGTGGGTTAACAAACAGGGTCAGGGGGTTCTGCTCCATCCAGTCATTCAGGGACTTTGGTTTTTTACATCCAGTGATCCCACCTCCCCAGAAGGACTCAGAGTCCTCTGAATTCTCCACATCTGCCCTTCATAAAAAGAAAATTAGAAAGAATAAAGAAGCCAACACCTACTCTTAATCACCTCAACATGAAAATGATACACATAACTTCTCACATTGGTGACATCTAGACATATGGCTCCATCTAGAAACAAAGGGAGCTGAGAAATATAGTCTAGCTATGTGCTCAGGAAGAACAGAAGGAAATGGACATTGGTATTTGCTATTCATTTCTATTACAGTTAATAATATAATAAACAGCTTATTGTATTTTTCAGACATTTATCACTAACAGTCACCTCCTCTTAGCATGAATAATACAATGACTGCACAACTGTTTTAGCAGGCTCACATTCTGTATTTGTTGATGCTCCTTTGGTTGCAAATATCAGAAATCCAATGCAAACTAGGTCAAATAAAAAGGATTTATTTGCTCACATATGCAAACCTTAGATAGTGGAGGGATAGAGCCAACCTCAGGGATTACTGGAATAACAATGGAGTTCTCTCTCTTTGTTGCTGATCTCTGTCTTTTGCTTTGTGTAACTGCTTCCTTCTTTAAAACCAAGACTATGTGTTAGGAGACATGTACACAGATCCAAACATCTCTCTAATCAGTTCTAGAAAGAACAACAAACATCTCTCTAAACAGTTCTAGAAAGCCCAGGAGCCATTCCCAATGTTCAATGTGATCCTCTTAACTTTGAGCTTGGTCTTATTAGGTGTAATCTTGTGCCCATGTGAATTGAGGTGAGTAGAAATGATAACATGCTATCCTGGTAGTAATTTATCATTTCATCACCATAAAGGGAGTCCCAGTTCTCTCTTTGCTATTGCCATGGTAAAGGCAATGATTCTATCAATACTTAAGATTAGAAGTTCTGGCAGAATAATGAAGCTACAGAAGATCTATAATCTCTGGGGTATTTGGCACCCTTTCAACAGCTATGAAGCAAAAATAAGACTTTTTAGTAGAAGGTGAAAAGACATACTTGAACCATTTAGCACATTACTGTACTAAATTGATTTAGAAAACGTTTTCACACAGTTAAAATATGTACCTCACAAAAGGGACTACCAGCAATCCTCCAACATAACCATTCCCCTCTACCTCTCGAGCCTCTGTTGGTTAGCAACTTTTTTCTTAAAGGACCGATAATAAATATTTTAGGTTTGCCATATGGTCATATAACTCTATGGATCTCTGACGCAACTACACTGCTATTGTAGTAAAAAAGCAACTATATACAAAACCAAAAACACAAGCAAGAAAAGAAAAACTGGTCATCATCAAAATTACAAACTTTTGTTATTCAAAGGGCACCAAAAATAAAGTTATATAAAAAAAAAACCCTACAGAATGAAAGAAAATATCCGCAAATTATATTCCTGATAAGGTACTTATACCTACAATATATAAAATATGATTACAACTCAATAATAAAAAAACAAACAATCCAACTGAAAAATGGGTAAAGAATCTGTATAAACATTTCTACAGAGAAGATATACAAATGACCGATAAGCTCATGAAAAGATACTTAATAACTTTAGTTATTAGAAAAACACAAATCAAAGCCTCAATAAGATAATCAATTCACAACCACCATGATGGCTATAATAAAAAAGATAATAACAACTATTGACCAGGATGTGGAGAACTCAGAACCTTCATAAACTGCTAATGGAAATGTAAAATGGTGCAGCCACTTTGCAAAATAGTCTTTGGAAAATAGCAGTTTCTCAAATGGTGAAACACAGGGTTATCATATAACCCAACAATTTTATTCCAAAGTATATACCCAAGAGAAATGAAAACATATATCCACACAAAAACTTGTAGGCAAACGTTTATAGAAGGATTACTCGCAGTAGCCAAAAGATGGAAACAACACAAGTGTCCATCAACTAATGGACAAACAACATGTGGTGTATCATACAATGGAATATTATTTGGCCATAAAAAAGAATTAAATACTAATACATGCTACAACTAAAATGAACCTTGGAAACATTTTGCTAAGTGAAAGAAGCTACAAAGGACCACATATTATATGATTCCATTTATATGAAAAGGCTAGAATAGGCAAATCTATAGAGACAGAAAACAGATTAGTGATTGCCTAGGTCTTGGCTGTGGAAGGAGATGGGGATTTGGAGACAACGCCTAAGGGATATGGAGTTTCTTTTCATGGTAATGAAAATGTTCTAAATTGATTGTGGTGCTAGACATATGATTCTGTTAATATAATAAATGCCAATGAATTGTATACTTTAAATGAGCGAATTATATGGCATGTGAATTATATGTCAATAAAGCTGGTTTTTTATTTGAAAAAAACATGTAGCCATAGACAATAGGTAAAATGGGCAGGAGTGTATTCCAATAAAATGTTATTTATAAAAACAGTGGCTGGCCATGGGCAACAGTTTTCTGACCTCTGTTCTAGAGAAACAGAATCTCAAATATTTTAGCTAGGCACTGGCTTACTAGAAAAATACTACCTTTCCTAGCCTCTCTTGCAGAAACTTGCATACAACCTTTGGAACTGTCCTTCAATAGGAGAGGTATGCTAATTCTTTGAATCCCTCTGTCTTTCCTGTTCACTGGAATGGCTAGAGCTCTAGCAGTCATCTCGGACAATGCAACAACTTTGGAAAATAGAAGCCACATATAATGGATCAAAAAGATAGCAGAAGTCTGGAATCTTCACCCCATGAATCATCACACCAACCAAACTAAATTCATCCATATTTCTTGAGAGAAAATAATAAAATTTATGTCATGTTTAAATAACTTTTATTTTGGAGCTGTCACTCTGTGCTCACAGCTGAACCTTGTTCCAATTACTAAAAGCCCTCAAGGAATTAAAAAAATTATGCCTTCTGGAGGGGCTCAAGCGGATGTTATTGACATTCAACATCCAATTCTATGGACATAGTCATACAATTGTCTTTTTTTTAAAACATCATTTTATTATTACATTTGAGCCTAGCCAAGAAGCCAAGAAGTGATTACAACATTTCATTCTTAATCTTTGATCTAGTGTCTTATAACTATTTGGGTTCATATCTTTTCTGATTAACTAATCCTTTGTAACTTTTAAAAATATCAAGTATCATAAATACAAACAGCACCATATAGAATAGAGATAGAAGAAAGAATGGAACCTTTATTTTGCAGAATTTGAAAAAATTGCTTAAAGCTGTACCCCAGAGAAGGCGGAATAAAAATATCTCTTTACACTTGTTCTCCTAAATTTCAAATGCCCCAAACTCCCTTCCCCTTTTTCTAGACGGAAAACTTTCGATTGTCACATTTCTATATAAAAGTGAATGAAATACATCAAAACATTTCTACTTACTTCTTGTGAAGATTGCTGACCCAAAATTGTTTTTTGATACTAGCTACAAAAAAAATCCAATGCTTTTCCAAACAACAGGATTTCTCTGTTAATTCTATCAAGGGCTGTCATTTGTCAAAATGTGACAACATGTCTTTGTCTTCATTATGATGGCAGGCAATTAAGAATGTTTTATCACGGCCAATTTATTTTTCTATATTAAAAAGATATTACAGCAGATATGTAAAATATAAGGTAGGATAAAATGACTAAATGGCCGCTCTTTAACTATTATCAGTTAATTTTGATGTATTTGTTAGTACCTTTTTTGTGTGCATAATGTTTTTACAAAACTATGACCTTAGTAGCCTTCAAACGTTGAGGACTTGTTAATGTAGACATAAGATCAAAGGATTGGTTGTCATCATATTATAAAGAAATGAAAACCAGTAGAAACTATCGATTTGGTAGACAAGTCCAAGATAATAGTTGTCAGTTCTTACTTAAGGCCAAAGACTATTTTGTGATGGTGACAGGCTTCGAGTTGTCTGAACAATCCTCAAATTACAAGTGTCTGACAGGAATTTAAAACTGTTTACCAGAGCCCAACAAAAACCAGTGCCAGTTTCCCCGGTTAACCTGTGCTGCGATGGCAGCGAGAAAGAACCGTGCATGTGCAAAGTCAAGGAGACCAAGAGAAATTTCAGGACATCGTGTTGGGGAAGGTGACTCAGGCAAACAGTTTGGTCTTGTGTCCAGCGTAAAGAGCACCGTGGCTGTGACCTGGTCCCACTCCCTGGGCAACAGGATGCTGAGCTGAAGATTAACAGCCCTTGTAGAAGTGGCTTACCAGAATGCCAAGCACCAGGTTTGGACTTTTCCAAATGGAAGCACCACGCAAGAGGGTGAAAGCACAGGTCCTGCAGCCAAACTGACGGGGTTAGACCAGCTCCACCAAATACTAGCTCTATGATTTTGGACAAATCAATGGCTCTCTCTTAGCCTGTTTCTCCTTATATAAAATGGAAATGATACTATTTATCTCTCCTAGGTTTGTTGTGAAGAAAGGATTAAATGGCATGGCAATGCTGGTGTTAAGCACAATGCCTGACGCGTATTATAACGAGCTGGTTGTCATAAGGTCCAAAACCTTAACCACCGCCAGCGTCCCTACCGGCCCTGCTTCCGGGAGTCCCTTCACTTCCCTCAGCCGATCGCAGATCCCTCCGCGGTCCCGTCACTTCCGGGAGGATCCAGCTTCGGCTCCTCGAACACCCGGATGCAATTATCATGGCTGCCGTCAGTGAGGGACAGCAATGGAGTCAAGAATTGCCCGGAAATTCCCGAGTTTAGGGTTTCAAGGAGGCCTGTCCAAAGGATAAAAGATGAGCTTGCTGGGCGGCAAGGTGCCCCAAACCGTCCTAGGAATTGGACTTCCGCGCTTCTTGTCAACTTGCCGCCAAGTTTTTCTAGAGGAATCGCTTCTCTTGGAAGGGTAGGACTTCGCTTCCTACCTGTACCTTCTTTGTATGCCAGGTTTTTACACCGTTCTTCCCTCAGCCCTGGAGCAGGTCGGGCAGTACGGTGGCTGGCTTGGGAGGTAGTGGCGGGCGGGCAGTTAGGACCGAGAGAGTTGCGGTGCGCTGGGGATTACGGGGCGGTGGAAGATCTGGGGACGCCCCACTAAGCTGTTGGAGCCGCCGCCCAATTGGAGCCTTGTCCCTGTATTTTAGCTGAGATGCTCCACAGGGCTCTTCCCAGCCGACTCAACCATACTCATAGACTTTAATCCTGCAAAATATCTAGGGTTTGTATAGCTCAGTATGTGATTTTTTATTTTTAATCACAAGCTGATAATGTTAGTTTTAAGTTTCAGAATGAACAGGGAAAGCTCATGTTGCGTTATGGGGCGGGTTTTCTTTTAAGGTTTAAATTTGTATAGGATAATGGGGAGATTTTACCGAAAGTATTCTTTTTAAAAAACTGGTATGAGAAAATAGGCTAATATTTAAAACACTCAAGGAATTGTTGAACTTTGCTACTGTGCAGTCATCACAATGAAACTTGAAGACACCAGAATTGTACCTCATGATAAGGCTTTAATTGCTAGCAGTTTCAGAAAAGACAATAATTCTAGATATAGATATATTAATTTGAATTAGTTTTTTTCACTGCAGGATGTCCTATAGGTTTTGTCATCTGGTGAAACAAACAATTGTGAGTTGGTTCATTAACATTTCCTAGTAGTTAAAGTTACTTTTTAAGTGTGATATAAAATACACATATAGATGTTTCTTTTTTATAGGAACAAAAGTATGGAAACTAATATTTAAAGCAGGTTGACCCTGCATAATAGAGTATGTTATAATTTAGATTTTCACTTAAACTCTCAAAATTAGAAGAGCTGACCTAGACAGGCTAAAAAAAAGAAAAAATGTAGACATTTACCCCCTCAGAGCATTCTATAAAATGACATTAGAAATCACCTGGGATTTGCTTATACAAGTGCATACAATATGCAAAGCAAAGAGTTGATAATGGATGAGAACATGCTTTACAATATATAAAGTAATGTCTCAATCACAAACAGTTATTACTCTAGCTCTTCTGGCCAAGTCATGTCTCCTTGTGATACATTTTAACCTCCAAAACTTGTGGTTCTTGTACTACCAGTATATAGTAAAAATACTATATCTTATAATAGCATTTTTTAAAAAGCAACAATTATCCATTTACACATTTTAAATTTTTTTTCCTTTTGATGCGTTATTTGAGATTGTATTTACAAGAGCATTTGTACACAGAAGAGTACTTAGTGATTTGATGGTCATAAATGGCCTCGGTGCTGACTTTTTGTGTGTTTTCTTGCAGGTAGGTCTACTGGGTTCTTGGCACAATGCCATATGGACCTGGATAAAACATTGTTAAGGTGGAAGTTTTTATTAATCAGTTCAAACATTTTACCTGTCTTTTTAGTTTTCCAGTATTTTAGTCAAATAACTAGATGTGGGTTTCATATACTGAGCAATTTTTGTGGGATAATTGATGACCACTTTAAATTATTTTCTACCAAATGTAAAGTTTGATTTCAAATAGTTGTTTTTATGGAGCATTTACCATAATGCAAACTGTGTTAAGTCCTATACATACATTATATCAATACTTAGAGTAACCTCACGAATTAAGTCTATTAAAATCACTGTTTTACAGATGGAGAAACTGAGGCAAAGGGGGATTAAGTTTCTTTCTCATGGTCCCAAAACTAGAGCCACGTTCTATAGCCTTTCCTTCCATATAACTGAAGATTTTAGTAGAAGAAGCATGAGAATGGAACTCAGACCTGGACTCTAGTCCTACGGCCCTGCTTTGTGAATTAGAGCAAGTCATTTAACCTCTCTGAATTTCATTTTCCTCTCCCGTGAGAAATGAACACTTTTAACTATTATATTTTATTGATTTTTGAATCATCAAGAATCTTTAAAAAGTTGCCTTCACCATTGTTTTCCCATTTTCTTCTGGCCCCCTGGCACTCATTCTATAAATTTTGATGCACATATGGAGGCAGTGACAACCCCATCTCTGTTGCTGCCTGGTATGACCACACTGTAAGATGTGGCTGATTTCAGAGATGTCAAAATGTAAAATAATGTGCATCTTGGAATTGATGACATGTAGTAGGTGATCTCTAAGTTCCTTTTCATCCTTGACTGTGTGACATCTGTGACTTTATAACATTTTATGGTTGGTTTATGTATTTTTTAATGTAAATGATTCAAAATAAAACATAAGCTTTTTGGTAATAGAAAAGTAGGAACCATGTCTCCCTTTCACCTCTCAGTCTCAATACCCAGAACAATGTGTGGCATGTAGTAAATGCTCAGTAAATATTTGCTGAATGAATTAAACAAATCTTCATTTCATATTACAAATAAAACATTTAAAAAAATTGTGTTTGACTTGAATTTGACATAAAATGGTATCAACAGTGCAAAAATACTTTGCTAATAATTTTCACATTCAGAAATGCACTGTTATAAAACAGCAGTTCTTTCCCAACATCTTTTCTGCTCACTATTGTTGATTATCATCAAGTGTAGAATATATTTTGTTCCTTGAAGAAGTATAGTGAAAATTGAAATACTGTCATATGGATTTTTTAACAAATTGAACTGGTTTTATTTTTTAGACTGGCCAAAGGGGTGGCTCCATAGTGTAGTGGTTAGCACATCTGCTTTACAAGCAAAAGGTCCTGGATTTGCGCCCAAAGTGGAGCACTGGACCATACCCCGGATGCGCCAGCCCCCCCACACCCACTTGCCGCCCCCTCCCCCACCTTGAGGGCGCACTGCGAGCACATGGGAGGAGACACCCAGCCTTCAGAGATCCAGTTCTTAAGGGGCGACGGATGAGCAACATCCATAGGTCAGGGGTAGAAGTAGGGGCGAGGGTATTAAAGAGGGGGGAAAAAAATAAAAAATAAACTGGCCAAAGTATAGAATTCTTTAATATATAGAGGCTTTCATTTTAACAAAAGTTGAAAAAAATATTATTTGATATCTTTATTAAATTTTTATCATGAGTATTCCGGAGGTGACTAAGCATGCCATCGTTCCAGATACCAGTACTAATACTAATACCAGTAGTATTAAACATGTCTGAGTTATGAATGATGAAAATAAACTACAACTGAAAGCTATTTTGAAACTGTGAATGGGCAGAAAAGTGTTCAAGTTTTGGGGTGGGTGAGTGTAAGATAATGTAACTAAAGAAATTATCCCAACAATATTTATAGTATGTTTGTTGAGATCTGTACTTTCAGTTAGACACAGGAAGGGGGATAGGAGTTATTAAAGAGTCATGGACTGTTCTTTGGTGATAACCAGCTAAGTGTTCTGCTATGGCCAGAAAAGCCAACATGTGAGGTATCATCAGAAAAATGTTTGGGAAAATCAACAGAAACATCTTATCCCTAAACAACATAATAGTCTATGCCCATTTCTGAACCAAGCACTGGCAAAGAGAATGGATTACTCTTAGATCTCTAAGTCTCATTTCTGTAGTTGAAAGTCTTCCAGTGGTTTGTCGGGGAGGAGCATACAAGAAATCAAGTTTCTGTAAGGAGAAAGAGGGAAATGGATGCTAAAATAGGCAAAAACAGAATCCACTGCAATGCCTTTATTGCCGTCTAACAATCCTTTGATCAGATCGGTGAACACTGAAAGCAGGGGGAGATTATGGAGAAAATAATATAAAAATAGATAATTATGTTCTACAAATTAATTTTGACATAAAATATACCACACATTTAAAAAGCTCATGATCTAATAAGTTTGTTAAAAAGTCATGCACTTGTCAGCATTTTAAAAAAAATACTTTAATTTTTTCCAATTCAAATAAATAAGGTTAAAGGAACATGAATAAATTGGCTGCTAATAGAAGAAATTTCAGCTGTTTGGAGTTGGTGAAATAAATTACTGTGTAACAGAAAAACAAAATGGTAGGGGAGTGAGAATGGAAAGAATGAATAGTGAAGTTCGTGATAAATCAGGTGTTAAAAATAATGTAGGGGTGACTATCATTATAAATGAAATTATTGAATACCTCTAGACTCAAAAGAGATTATAGAGTAGTTAAAAATCAGTTGTCCATGAGAAGAAATTGAGAATTGGGGGGTAGTTAATAAAGTCTGTTTCGTCTCTATAGCAATCGTTCTCAAAATATGGACCTTCTGCAACCTGAATCAAGTGTGCAGCTTACATGTAACCGACCAGTGGCTGACACTGCCTGATACATAAAAGGCACTAGAAAAATATTTATTGAATAAAGGAAAATGAATGATCAAAAAGATGGCTAAGTGAATGAAGGCACTAATGAACCCAAATACCATTTATCATTAATTCCTAATGTGATGTTTCATTATTCTTCAAATAACATCCATGATGGCACTAATATTCATGGCAGTGGTATAGTATTGCTCCTTTCCCAGCCTATGAGATTCTAGCTATGAATACTAATAGATATTGTTCATCGAGCATTTAATGTGTACCAGGCACAATGCTAAGTTCTTTTTCCTCATTAATACATTTAATTTTTATAACAACTTTATGCGGTAGATATTATTTCCCCTTTACAGAAAAGGAAATCAAGGTTCAAAGAGAGTAAGTAACTTGCCCAGTTATACAGCTGCTAAATAATGGAGTTTGGGTTAGAACCCAATTTTGTTTCACTTTGCAAATCGAAGCCTGTGCTCTCATTGCTACACTGCTTCCAAAATTTGCAATATTCTGCAGACTTACTTGGCTTCTTATAAGCTTTGCACTTTCTCCTTTGAAATTCTCTTTGACACCAGTTTGGGATTACTGCTTTGGCGCTAGTTTTTATTGTCAGGGGTCTTCATAAGCTCTTTCGTTTATGAACTAATTATTCATTCTTTGTGTCTTTTGAAGACTTGTCACAGTACCTGAAACCCTCACTCAGTTGAATTCTAGACTGAATAGATTCAGTTTATAGCTTTATAAATTCCATTCTTTTCTGCAGTTCTGTGAGTCTCCTGAGAGGCCTTAAATTAAGCCTCATTTTCCCTTTCCTACTGCTGATCAGGGTTCCAACCTTTATCCTGGAATTGCCCAGTTGGCTCAGAGAACCCATATCAGACATCAGTTTCTCTATTGTTTCCCATTATCCCAAATACCTTTCTTAGGACTAGAAAGTCTTAGGACTAGAGTTATCATATTTTATTATAATTTCAGAGATTTATCTTGGTTGTATTTGAAGCTGGTATTAAAAGTTGTTGGTTTTTTTTAATTCTAACCCAATTGAGAGGCAAAATAAAGTGGCCTTTCCTCTCTCCACTCTGTAAAGGCTTTCAAATAGAGATTACTATTATAAATCGGTGGCTGCCTTCACAATCCTTATCTCCCCAGTGTTGCTCCAGGCTTCCTGCAAGAGGAGCCTCAGAGAAACTTTTCTGTTACTCCTCAGGCACTATCTGCTCCATCTGGCCAACCCCAGATAAGACCATTTTGCCTCCATCTCTGCATACTTTCAGTGGCCAGGCATAACATTCTCCATTGTCCACATTTTACCCAAAAGGGAAATTCAAATGCCGATTTTATTGAACTTTGTTCCAAAGTGTCAGATTGGCTGGAATGTTACTCTTTTACTTCCAAGCAGCTTGTGTGTTTTTTATGAGGAAGGATTACCACTCTGGCTTAGCTGAGACTAAACTAAACTGCCTGCAATGATATCATGATTTCCAATTGATTACATCCAGTTACCTATGGGACTTACATCAAACCAACTGACTTTATTTTTAGAACTGGTAAATGTGCTTCTTTTGCAGTCTCTGCTATTTTATGTTCAACAGAACATTTAAAAGAATTGTTAGCTAAGCTTGAATCAAAGTGGGCAACTTGCTGATAAGTGCCTTCAGATTAATTGAATAAGAGGATATTAGTACTTTTTATTTGGTTTAAAAAAAATCCAGGGGTCTAAGTATTAAAGGCCTCATTTCGAGGAACTTTGTAACCCTGGATACAGGGTAAAATTTTAGCCTTCCATGATACATAGGCCCTATGGCAAGGAGCCTACAAAGAGAACTTTGAGGCTACTTCTTTGTAGGCTCAGAAAAATCTTTGGTGGGTAACCTTTTTATCTCTGTACTCTCGTCTTATGTGGATTTCTTATGGCTGTATGAATTCACAGCCATAGTCAGCATCAGTGCCCTCCCCATTATTGGGTCCTGAAGAAGTAGGCCCCCTTTTTTAAAAAATTAAATTTATTAAGGTATAATTTGCCTACAATAAAATGTACACATTAAATAAATTTAGACAAATATATACATACCGAGTGTAACCACCGCTGTGATCAAGATATAGAACATTTTCTTTAGCCTAAAAGATTTCCTTGTGCCCCTTCCACTCTGTCCTCCCCTCACCCAAGTCCCTTGGCCCACGCAGCCATTGAGAGTAACACTCATGAGACAAGGATATATATTGTGGAATAAACTTGTCTTTCTCAGAATTTTAAACAAAAATTTTACAGTATGTTCTCATTTGGGTCTGTTTGTTTTCATTCAGCATCATGTTTTTAAAGTCCATCCATGTTTATGTATCAGCAGTTTGTCCATTTTTATTGCTTAGTACTATTCCATTATATGGATACACCACAATTTGTCCATTCACCTATTGATGGACATTTGGGTTGTTTGCAGTTTTTGCCTGGCCTTTGCTTGTACATGTTTTCATTTCTCTTGGGTAAATACTTAGGAGAGGAATAAGTGGGTCTACAGTAAGTGGATGCTTAACTATATAAGAAACTGCCAAACTGTTTTCCCAGAGTGGATATACTATTTTACATTTTTACCAGCAATGTATGAGTTCCTGTTGCTTCACATTCTCGCCAATACTATGTAGCCATTCTAGTAGGTGTGTAGTAGTATCTCATTGTGGTTTTAATTTTTATTTCTTTGATGACTACTGATGCTGAGGATTTTTTTATGTGCTTTTTGGCCATATTTATATCTTCTTTTGTGAAGTGAACAAATATTTATAAGCAACCGATATTTGTTAGGCAGTGTGACACTTCATCTCCTGGCCCACTTGGACGTCTAGAATGGCCACTAGAGTTACAATATCCCTATCCAGCGACACAACCTATTTGCACCAAATCCCTTCCCTTTCTCTAGCTCAGGGATCAGTAATATTTTTTGTTAAGGACCAGATAATAAATATTTTGGGCCTTGTAGGCTATAGGAACTTTGTCACAGCTCTTCAACTCTGTCATTGTAAAAGCAGCCATAGATAATATGTAAGT